AGTTTCTTCCGAGTACAGATGTGGTGTATATCGCTCAGTTTCTCTAGCACTCGTTTTTGATACAATGCCTCACCAGTTGTGTGCTCTCTTTCTATCCCTGACTTGTTACACAGCAGATCTTAGCGAACTACAATGCTTGTTTGCAGTAGAATAAAGAGAGTGATTTGGTTTGATCAAAGTATATCTAAGCTAGGGTTTACAAGGGTGTATAAATACTTTGATGGATGGTAGAGGCTTGATAACCCTAGAGATTTGATCCTTGGAAAGAATTGATTCTTTTCAAGAATAAGGAATGAGCCGTTGCTTCTCTTGATTGCTTTCCTTTAGCAGAGGATTGCTTCACTTGATTTCTCCTTGATTGTTGGATCTTCCAAATGTGGTCGCTTCCCGGATCTCCTCGTATCCTTTAATCTTCCGTGATTCTGCCCATGATTCGTGCCTTTGTCCAAGGCTTATTTGATTTTTTCCAGCTCAGCTAATCATTGTTATTGCTGATTGATTCGTTGATTAGATTGCGCCCAGATTTACGAGACCAATCCAGATTTGCTGATCACATCCTGATTGATTTCTTCCCTTGTACATCATGAACCATTCGAGCAGTCTTCTTTACTTCTTGAACTTGATTTCCTGCACATGTATATTATTTGCATCATTAAAACATGATCTAACATGTATTGTGTCTCTTCGAGTTCTTTCATCTTTATTCTCATAGTTGTAATAATCTTTAGTTTTAGTCATGGGCCACAGGAGCTCACCTATGTTTGTTCTCACTTTGCACTTTTGGCATCAGCGGCTGGCAGTTGAGGTTTTGATCTCAGGACTTGTTTTTAAGGAGGAAGATTTTGTAAGACCTTGGGAAGGACAATATGATAACTCTGAGAGGTAAAAAGAATCTTCTTTTCTTTTTTTGTTGGTTGATCTCCATTTAGGTAGATGATTTCATTCACCTAGGTCAACACAAATTATTGACTATTTTGTTTTGTTAGTTCCCGCATCTGTCAGTGAAAGCTTATTAAGCAGAAACCACTCTTGCATTTCTCAATTTCTTCAGATACGTGCTGCAGTGGGAGTCGAAGAATCTTATTGCTGTAAGCACTGTAATTCAGGATTGGTTGACGTCAAGTAATAATTTTTTCTTTGCCTTTTAGCATATGATACATTGGCCAGTTAAATTGCTGCTGTATTCGGTTATGATGCTGACATCATCACTAATTACAGGACTTGCAATGGAGTTGATGAAACGTGGTGCTATGATGACCGTTTTAAAAACTCTTTTGGCAGCATTCGCATTGCCAGCAACATTGCTTGCTATGACTGATTTTATTGACAGCAAATGGACTATTGCCGTGGACAGGTTCTTGTTTGTTTGTGTATCTGATTTACAATCTCTTTTTTGAGGTTGGGATTGGGATCAAGGAGGAACATGTGATGAAGCTGTTTTATCTTCCATTTATGTATATGCCACGATTAGAAGTAAAAGGAAGAGATTAATATAATGGCGGTAATAATGAGAAGAACCTATCTATGAACCCAAATTATTTACCATTTGTTTAATTTTTTTAAATTTTTTCTGTATTTCCATCTTTTGTTTCAGCGGAACTAATTCTAGCTCCAATCATGCTTCTTAATTATCAAGCAGTTCTACTTTATCATATTGTGCCAAAGCATAGTATCCTACTTAGATTGGAAAAGTAAATTCTGCCCATTGCTATTTATTATTCACAGATCTGACAAGGCAGGAAAACTTCTGGCAGAAGTGTTACAGAAAGGATTACAAGGACACAGGTAAACAAGCTTAAATAGATTCTGAGCATTTTCCAGTTGAGTCCCCTGAAAGATTGCGTTTTCACATCAACCAATTCTGTTGGTTGTCCATATATGTTTCAGACCTGTGACACTCGTAGGGTTTTCACTTGGGGCAAGAGTTATCTTTAAATGTCTCCAGATTCTGGCTGAGAGTGAGACTAATTGTAACGTTCTTTAAAAATGTTTTTCTTTCTTACAGTTTATCAGTTGCTTAATATGATCCTAAAGTATTTTCTTGCAATTTCACAGCTGGACTTGTGGAAAGAGTTGTTCTTCTTGGGGCACCCATTGCAATTAAGGATATGAACTGGGAAGCAGCTAGAAAGGTTTTTGCTCCCCCCTTTGTTAATTTCAACTACTCTTATTAGAATGAGCATATTTATCCCCTTTCCTTTCCTCATTTGTTTTCCCAAGTATAAGGCTAGGACGTGTCTACTTGATTACCTCATAATTATCATTTGAGGATCTCTCTTCCTATTTTGCAGGTAGTGTCTGGTCGATTTGTGAATGCTTACTCTACAAATGATTGGATGCTAGGGATTGCCTTCCGTGCCAGGTTTGCATTATCTGCAACCATAGTACTGATGTTAAAAATGTCAATGACTGATGCTAAGCTCTGCATACTGTCTTAAACTCTTACCCTTGTGCTCTCTCCAAATTGCCTGTCTGCATTTTGTCTTGACACAATATTCAGAGAACTATTGAAAATATGAAACATTAGATATTCCTTGAAAAACGTAGTCATATTCTGATACTCTTAATTGTAGAACAATAAACAAGGATACAGGAGTAACTGTTTTGAGTTAAAATTAGGTCATATAAAACTTTTAATTTGAAATATATTAAAACTTCTATTTAAGGAAATTGGAGAATAATGTGAGACATTCCAAAAATGAAAGTAGGCCAAATGTTCTATATGGAGGGACAATATGTTTTCATGTTTCATATGTCGTTTGTGCTTCTGTTTCTGTATAACTTAGTGCATTTTCTTCTAAACAGTCTCCTTACACGAGGCTTGGCTGGAATTCAACCAGTTGATGTTCCTGGTATTGAGAATGTAAGTTTTCATTTGTACCTTTCCTTTTAAGGACAACCATATTTGAATCCTCATCATTTCTTGCTCAAACCCTTCACTTTTAACAGGTTGATGTGACTGAACTCATCGACGGTCATTCCTCCTATTTATGGGCTACCCAAAAGATTTTAAATCTACTTGAGCTTGATGCCTATTATCCGGTAGTTATCGGTCGCGTCGCGCTGTAAAGACAGACGTTGCAACTTGCAACACATTTTCTTCGTTAGATAAATGCATTTTAGGGGATTGTATCTGTTACAGGAAGTGCATAGTTTTAGCCAGGTCATTCTATGACTACTGGTGTACCACATATAAATTTCTGAATATGAATGATATAGCAAGAATCTGAAATCACGACTGAAGCAGGTGGTTTAAAGTTCTGTTTTTCGCGCGACTTTGCTCATATGTGATTCATGCCAGATTGTGAAAAGTAATATTTTACCTTTTATTTTGGAATTTTAGAAAGTAATGGAGTAGTAGATACTTCATTTTGGATTTTAATAATGTCAACGAATAATACGACATTGGTTGTAAAAGACCAAGTATATAATGAATAATCAACTGTCGAACCATGAAAAAAAAAGAAAAGAAAAATGTCGAATTTCAGGTATATCATCCTAAACCTTTGCTCCACAAAAATAATTTAAAACGCTATAATGAAAACAAGGAATAAGGTGAAGAATGAAAGAGAAAATGACTTTTTTACAGTATCTTCACATTTTATCGTGCTATTTTATAATTTTCAATTCATTTGTTGTTCTATCATTGAGATGGAAGAAAAAAAAAAACTGTACGTTAAGTAATTATATGGTATAATTTTTTTTGAAAAAAAATAGCTTGGAGCGGAATCGGGTCATTGGGCCCTCTTTTTGGGATAAGAACCAAGTCCGTACGGGGCATTTGCATCTATACCGTTTTTTGTGCCACATTTTAAATTGTGCCCGCTTTGCAAAAAAAATTGCAAGCGTACCTGCTTTTTCACATAACTTCAGCCCACGGGGCTGAAGTTTTTCTTTTGTACTGAAAACTTCAGCTGAAATTTTTGTCTTTGTAACCGGAAAACTTAAGCTCCAGTTATAAAATAAAAACTTAAGCAGTTTTCCAGCTTAAGTTTTCCAGTTATAAAATAAAAACTTAAGCAGTTTTCCAGCTTAAGTTTTTCAGTTATAAAATAAAAACTTTAGCTCAAGAAAGTTTTTCTTTTGTACTGGAAAACTTCAGCTCTAGAGCTGAAGTTTTTGTCTTTGTAACCGGAAAACTTCAGCTCCACAGCTGAAGTTTGCCAGTTATAAAATGAAAACTTAAGCTTTCCAGTTATAAAATAAAAACTTAAGCAGTTTTCCAGCTTAAGTTTTCCAGTTATAAAATAAAAACTTAAGCTCTAGAGCTTAAGTTTTTCTTTTGTACTGGAAAACTTCAGCTCTAGAGCTGAAGTTTTTGTCTTTGTAACCGGAAAACTTCAGCTCTACAGCTGAAGTTTGCTAGTTATAAAATAAAAACTTCAGCTCTAGAGCTGAAGTTTATGTTGTAACTAGGAAACTTCAGCTCTAGAGCTGAAGTTTTTGTCTTTGTTTCTTGTACTGTTTCTTGTACATCCATCAAAGGATTTACATGGAAATATCTAGCAATTTTTGGCGGATAGTCTTGAAATATCATGTTTAAGTAGCTACATATTATTTCCCGTTAAAATTTGTTAGAATGGTCAATGAAAATCTGACGATTACATATCGTGCAAAGCTAAATTCAGAAAATCTATCTTCTTCAGTTATCGCAAAGCATGAAACTAACAAGTTCCAATCTCATATTCTATTTGTAAAAGGTTATCTCAAACACTAACTACAGTGAAGAGCAAGAACTGTTGTATTGAAGAAGAAGAAGAAGAAGAAGAGGAGAAGGGGAGGAGAAAGGGAAGCTGAAGTTTTTTAAAAAGTGGGTACGGGTGCAAACAAAAAGACAAAGTAGCTACAGAGCGCCCCGTGCAATTTTTAATGTCCGTACCGTATTGCGTATTTGGACCAATCCGAATTCGGGTATTGAATTGCCAATTTTGATTTTGATCGAAAATCGAAATAGGTCTACTTTTTCATTTTTTTATTTTAAAATAGGTCACTTAAATGGTGAGGCTATGCACCTGGGTTCGAATTCGCAAGCCGACGTGGAGGAACAATAAAAAGTTAAACACGCTTCACAGTTAATAAACGAAAGAGAAAAAATTCTGAATCGAGTATTTCGGTGTGGAGCCGAGCCAAGAAGAAGAGAAACAGATGAGGGAAGATAATGATATGAACGGAAAAGGCGACAGTTGCTGCATCGACGGCAACAGCAAAAGCGTAAATCCAATCACAGATGCCGGAGCCGGAGCCGGAGCCGGAGCCGGAGGGACAGGCTCCGGCAATGGTGAAGTAGAAGGCGTATCATCATCGAATAATAAAGGAAAATCGTGCAAAGGATGTCTATATTACTCGTCTACTTTCAAATCCAATTCTCGCAATCCTCTTTGTCTCGGCCTTAGCCGTTCCCTTCCTCAAGGTTCCCCTTCTAACCCTTTTCGTTTTTCCTCTTTTTTCCTGCCTTTTTTTAAAATGTGTTGTTACTTGCTTATTGTGCATTTCTTTTGCTAATTTTTATTGCTCGCAGAGATTCCTGTTTTCTGTTTTCGTGGAATTATAAGTTTCATAATTCAGGACTCGTTACAATTTGCAGCTTAAAATAAAGAAATTTCTCATGTTACTTACTGGTGAAATAGTAGTACCTAATGTTCAATGGCTCAGTAGAAAATGTAAAGATTCTAGTTTTACGGAATCCCTAATTGGTCCCAAAAGGCAAATTATCGGAAGATTGGAAGCCGAATGAATAATGAGGATTCATATATCCAGCACCATCTACTTTAGGATTAAGGCATAGTTCCAAATTGGTCTGAGGTCTCTCTATATATCATTAGTGATACATGTTACTTGTGCTGTAATACTCTAAAAAATAAGCATTTTGGGCAGCTGAGTTAGTTCTGGTCTGGTGATTCCATGTTATGTGAACTATCCTTTTGAGGAAAAATCATTTCTGCAGGAAAACAGGAAGCTAGAATTTTTGACGTACTCCATTGTTGGTCACATAGACCTCTCTACTGTATCTCATTAGGCATTGAATGTTCGGCTTTGTTGTTATCATTTATAGCATATTGAAAATTAGACCCTGTATTGAATGTGTGCTGAGACTGGTTTCTGATGTTTGATAACATTAACAAGTACCTCGATATATTGTTGGGGAATCTGAGATGGAAGCTTCTAAAGAGGGTCGGAGCCTTACGGATTTTAGATATGCTTGTGTCGGTTATTCTGTATACTTGGATCAGAAATCTCGATCAACTGATGCTCAAGAGACACAAACAGAATTGCCAGTCTGTGTTGGCCTTGAGGTTAGCATTCTACTTTAAATGCTCAAGTTTACTTCATGCCTTGTTTCATGTTTTGATGTGTTCTAGGGTATACATGGAGAAGAAGGCAAATTAATTTCTGTAGGAGATGTCATGCTTTGACATATTAGTTTTTACTTTCCTCTTTGTTCTGACCAGTTACCAGTATTGTGTTTATATGCAATTTAATCCTTTGAAAGAGTTATAGTAAGATATAGCCACTAATAACTTCTTGTTTTTTGTATTATTTCTGTTTACTCCAAAAAATGTTGCTCAACTAACTTAGATAGCATGGCGTAGGTTTTGGTGGATAAAAGACCCAGTTCAGCTGATGCAGCTCCTGCTCCTGCTCATGCTCATGCCCAAAAGAAAGAAGGTGACTGCTGTGATTTCATTTTTTCCCTGCCAAAAAATATGTGTCTGATGTAATGCTATTGGTATAGTGTGTTACTGCTTCATATGGATGTCTAAATTTGGTTCGAACATTTTTGTACATAGGGATGTGTTCTTGTTCCAGTTTCCTGAACATTATCATTTTCCAGTAACATTTTTTTCATAATTAATTACATGCTTGGTGAAAGTTTATTTTTTGCTTTACCTACTGCATTCCTTTATTGTTCTTGAAGTAAAAAATTCAGAAATATTCTTTATCAACAAATCCTCGTTGAAAACTTAAAATTACTTTTCTATTTGTTGCTGAAGAACCTTGTTCGTTTAAAGTCTAATGACTGTTTTAAGCTTGGAAGCCACATTATAAATAAAATAGGGTTAATTTCAGAGACCTCCCTTCAGGTTTTGCCTCATCACACTAATCTCCTTGTGGTTTGGGATATCACGTTTACCTGCCTTATTTATCTTTTTGTAACAATTATTTTGATCTATTTTTCATAAATAGGAAAAAATAGGCTCTGACTGATTTGCCTTTCTTTCTAACATTTTCTCTTTTGATTAATATATTTCAATGAATATCTTCTTCAATTAATTCCTTTGGAACAGTAAAAGTTACGCTAGGAGTGACTGCGTGAGTGCACTTCAACTTTTTTATAGGTCTTCTCATCATCTTCTATGTAAAAGCAATTAATCTTCATACGAAGACACTCGGCGATGCTGTGTGCACAATCTTGCCGTTTATCTTCCTCTGCAAGGTCACGAATGTTTGAAAAGTTAAAGTTTTTCTTTTTCCTTATTTTAATTACTACTTTCTTTTTTCCTACTCATGTTTGGTAACTGGAACTCTACTTTCTGGTGATGTTTGGCAATTGGAATATCTACTATTTAATATTAAGACATCTAACTATTGTTCCTTCTATCAGAGTGTTTTTATATTTGTCATTTTCATTTAATAATTCAAATATGAAGTGCAGTGACCATATAGAAGTGGTGAAATTAGAGCTCGCAAGAGGAATTGCTTCTTTTCCGTTACCTTTTTTATTCATAGTAGTGGAAGTCATCTCAAAGATTATGTGAAAGCTCTGTTGTTGAAGAAGATATTCATTAAAATAAATTCAAAAGAGCAAAATGTTAGGAAGAAAGGCAAATCAGTCGGATCATATTTTTTTCCCTGTAAATGAAAAATAAATTAAAATTATAGTTACAAAAATCAAAATAAGGGAGGTAAGCGTAATGTTGCAAACCACAAGGGAGGTTAGTGTGATGAGGCAAAACCTTGGGGGAGGTCTTTGAAATTTTCCCTAAATTTATATAATGGGCATCCGGCAAGATCAAGGTTATAGAATTCAATGTTTTACATCCAGAATGGAATGGCTGGTTTGACCTTTTGAAGTTGTCCGTCACAGCTCTTTTCAATCAGGACAAAGAAAAAACCTATCGATGCAAGAACAATTGTGCTTGTGAAGAGATTATCAATCCAGCAGTAACTTTAGCCACTTGGGACGGGGATCTATCCACTACTCCTATTTTTTTTTTCCCAGCTTTTCAACCTTCAATAAACGATCTCCCAGGATTTTAAGATATCCTTTATCTGTAGAAATCAGAAGTTTGAATGCTGATTTTTTATCATGCTGATAGAAACTTATATCTGCATAATCTACCCTCATGAGTAGCTCAAACTCCGCACACCATTACTTGTTGGTCATTAAACTAATGTCTGAGGTTTTATCTGTGACGTATTTTTTTAGTTGATCTGTATCTTTTATGAGTCAAGCGAGAGTTTCTAGGAGAAGGTGGCGATTCCTAGTCCGGATTCAAACATATCTTTTCTGGCTTCTCTGTGTGTTTACTGTTGTTGCCTCTCCGCGCCTTTCATGCTATTAGCATACTATGTAGGATCTTTAGCAGATGACAACCTCTAAATGTGGCATATGATTTAGTAGTTGATCATAATTTGATATGCAATGTAATTCAGCATCTTGTTCTGTAATGTTCGTTACCCCTTGCAGTTATTTGGACTATTATGTTCTTTATGTGTTGGTTTGATCATTGGCAACCTAATTTGGTTCTTCTGTTTTCTTTTTAACTTTTTTATTTTTAAAAGATGGACATGGAGTTCCACAGCCTCGATCACATAAACCAACTCATGCAGCTGGTGATGAGTTCCTTACCAGGCAAGCAGTGTTTGAATATTGATACATGATGTCTGCTTCAAGTGAGGCACTATATAGAATTGTTTGATGATGTTTGTTCCCTTGAAAATACAGGTTTACCAGGAATGCTAACTTGGTTGCAATGGGAGTAGCCAAGAACTTGCGGAAAGTGGGAAACCGTATAAAAGAAAGTGTTGATGACATCTTCTATCGGCGGCCGAAGTAGGATTCTAATCCTGAAATAGAAGAAATGGATAAAAGAGCATTGAGCTGAACCAAATAATGTTTACGTTTGCTTCATTTGCCTTGGAATAGGTTAAAGGGGAAACATGTAATATGTCTTATGAGATTTATTTTTGGTGTTTGTATTATTGATTTTTCATTTAAGGAATGCTCTTATTCCAACAACATCAAACTAAGAATCTTTTATTTCTAGTTACTACTATTTTATAAGGTGGTAATTGTTACTAATAATTCCTTAGATTTTACTTAAAAATATAAAGCAATCACGTCACGTCAAAGAACCTGCATTCCTTAAATGAAAGACGCCAGGTTCTTGCCCCGTCGTTGTGGGGCTCAAGATAACTTCTTTTTTTCTTTCATTTTTTATTTTCGGTCAAGATAACTTCTTTAGCTCTTTTTTTCTTAGCTCGATCCTATTTTATTTGATATTCCAAAATTTTCAGAATACATTTAACTGGTCATAAAATCCAAAAAGTGAATGTGATATTATCTTATCTTTTGTGTGTCTGGTGATGGAAAATATATTTTGATAAGTATTAAGCGTTTAGTTGCTAGAAAAGACTTTTTATCATTTAGTATCCAATAAAACTATGTGATTAACTAACATGAGAGGAATTGTCAAGAAGACCTCCTCAACACTTGAATTGGTCAAGTGACCTTTCATTTTCTTTTTCAATTTCTTTTGAGTTGGAAAATTGTTAAATGAGTGGGTTAGGGTGGATGGGGCCTTTTTAACATTTAAAAACTTGTGGGTCACATATAAAGTTTAAAAAACTTGCTTCCTCTCTCATTTTTCCCGCTAAGTTTCTCTCTCGTCTCTCTACTCTCTCTTCTCTCTTTTCACTCAACCCCATCGAATAAGGTGGTTTCCGGCGGGACAGGACAAGAATCAAGCTTCGATTTTTTGTGTAATCGTCTCTATAGACCCATCAAGCACTGTATTAAAGCTCAGAACGCGTCAATTTTGGTAAATCTTAAATTCTTCTTTTTCCTTTTCTTATATTTTTGATTTCGGGTTTTGTAACGTGATTCGTTCATGTGCATGTTCAAGATCGATTGGGTTGTGAATAACCATATCTTATATAGCGTGGGTGGTTATATTTGCTTCTTGGACTATTTCTATGCTCTATATATTGGAATTTCGTCATAACTGCCTATAGGCAATTTAAATTTATTGGATTTAAATCCAAAAATTATTTGGATTATAATTTAGATTCAAGATATATTAGTTCAAAAAAAATATTATGGCCTAATATAATTGGATTAATTATTTAAGTCCAATAAATATTGATTGGGCTAGCCCCATTTAATTAGGCTACAAGTGATGAGCCCACCATATTAAGCACAAGATATCATCTTCCTAAAGGCCCAATTTGGTGCCACATGTCAAATGACGTGGCACGCCAAGTCAAACAGAAGAGCCAATGGGGTCATGCCACGTATCAAAATAACAAGACATGCCAAGTCAAATTAAAAGGCCAATGAAATCGCATCACGTGTGCAAGTGACATGTTCTGAATCAAATGTGGCCTTGTCATTCTTCAATCTGATTGGTCGGAAAGAGTTTGCTCCCATCACAACTCTTCCCTCCAACAACTATAAATAAGGGTCTTCATAACTCAGAAAAGAGACCAAAAGTCATAACAAGAAGCAAGAGAGAGCTCATGGATTAAACATTGTAAATTTCTCTACAAGTTTCAAGCTTCAAGCAATCAAGTTCAAGTTCAAGCTCAAGAACAAAGAACAAATCAAGATTCAAGGAGTACGAGCTCAAATCAAAGTTCGTGCTAGTTGAATTCAGGATCATCGTTCGTGACAACAAATATAGATTCAAGATCAAGCTCAAAGGCCCTTGAATTTATTTATTATTGGAAAGAAGAATCAGAGGAATCATAGAGATTGTAACACTCTTATTACTCGAAATCAAATACTACGATTGTTGCGATATTTTTCTGTTTTGATTTTATTTTCTTGACGCAATTTATTGTCTACAAATTGTGGTACGTCCAGTGGGACAATCTCTACCTCTCATATGAACTTTTTAATCACCAACGTTCAAGAACATCGAAATGGCTTCACAGAAAATTGACTCCCGATCAACTTCTAGTGAGGCTGCTAATTCCAAGTTCTATGTTGATGTGGAAAGCATCCTCGATGTTACCTTTGGAAGCCTTGGGCCAGTTACAAGGAGAAAAACAAGCTCTTTAGGACAACACGCACTCTAAGTGTCGTCTGTGTCAACCCCTATATTCGGATCTTCATCTTCAAAAGGAGTAAGATCCTCTACAAGCACGACCCAAAAAGGGAATGACGTCGCCAAAAGGATCGAAAAGGTTCTTGCCCAACTTAGTTTATCTAAGTCCGAGAAACCTTTCATGCAAGCTTATGATCTTGAGCGCTGGATCTACTTTAGTCTACATTAATGCGACCTCTAAGCTCTATCCCAATAATGATCTATTTCATTCTTCATCCTCTACAGACATCATGCAAGCAATGGTTATTGAAGTTTCTACTGTAGAAGAACAACTCACAAATTTGACAAAAGCAGTTGAAGGCTTGTCAAGGCGCATGCAAGATCAAGATGCTAAATTTTCCAAGTTGACAAATAAGTTGGAAAGCATAGTAGAAGGAGAATCCATACAAACGCCTTTAAATCTTCAAAGGTTACAAGAGAAATGGGACTCCTCCGAAAAGCAAGCAACGACAACCAAAAAGATCCAAGTCTTCGCTGAAGGTCTAATTCCCGTTGAGGAATTGAAGGACTTCATCATGGAGGCTATCAAAGATAAGCCTGAGTCGTCATCTAAATTATCTCTCACATATGCAAAGGCGTATACCCAAAGAATTAATAACTTGAAGATGCATGCTGGTTATCAACCTCCTAAGTTGCAACAATCCGATGGCAAGGGAAATCCAAAACAACATGTAGCGCACTTTGTTGAAACTTGAAAAAATGTTGGAACGTACAGTGATTATCTTGTCAAACAGTTTGTTCAATCTCTCAAAGGTAATGCATTCAATTGGTACATAGATCTCAAACCTGGATCCATCGATAGTTGGGAGCAGTTAGAGCATGAGTTTCTTAATCGTTTCTGTAGCACAAGACGCATCGTAAGCATAATCGAACTTACAAACGCTCATCAACGAAAGGAAGAGCTAGTTATTGATTTCATCAACCGCTGGAGGATCTTAAGTCTCAACTGCAAAGATCGCCTTAACAAAACTTCTGGCATCAAAATGTGCATTCAAGGCATGCATTGGGGTCTTCGCTATATCTTATAAGGCATAAAGCCCAAAACATTTGAAGAACTAGCAATTCGTGCTCATGATATGGAACTAAATATGGCGATAAGTGTAGACCAAAGGGCTACCTGTCTTTGAGCCTTACGACGAAGAAGAAGAATAAGAAGGCGAGGATGGGGGCAAGTTGTCATACGATAATGAAACTGAAGAGTCTATGCATGTCACTATGCTCCTCAATGCACGAGCGTAAACTGCAAGTTATAATGCTCCTTAATGCACGAGCCTAAGTTGCAAGTTATAATGCCCCTCAACGCATGAGCCTAAACTATAGGTTATAATGCTTCTTGGCACATGAGCCTATACTGTATTTGACAAATTTCTCCAAATTTGAACTAAATCTTTAAGACGTAAAGCTTTTTAAATTTGAGCAAAATCTTCAAGTTGTAAAGCTCTTCATATTCGAGCAAAATGTTCAAGTCGCAAAGATCTTCAAATTCAAGCAAAGACTCAAGTCGAAAGCTCTTCAAAGTCAAGCTAAATCTTCAAGTCCCAAAGCTCGTCAAATTCAAGCCAAACTTCAAGTTGCAAAGATCTTCAACTTTGAGCTAAATCTTCAAGTGACGAAGCTCTTCAAATTCGAGCTGAACTTTTAATTGCAAAGTACTTTAAAGTTGATCAAGTCTTCAAGTTTTGAAGCATTTCAAATTGTAAGCTAAACCTTCAAACTACAATGCTCCTGGACTTACGAGCCTAAACTACATGTCATAAAGCTCTTCAAATTTGAGCAAAATCTTTAGGTTGCAAAGCTCCTCAAAATACGAGCTTAAATTGCAAATCTCTACGCTCCTTAACGCAAGAGCATAAATTACATATCACTCCTCGCCCGCATGAGTCTAAACTGTATATGGCCCACCAAAAAAAAGAGTTCGCTAGATTGAAAACCTCGAAAGAGGTGGCCTAGGCAAAATTTAGGACATAAAAAAGAACTACTCTAGGTTGAAAATCTCGAAACAGGCGGCCTAGGCAAAATTTAGGACATAAAAAAAATAATCACCCATTCTGAACTACGGTATGACTTGATCCTCTTCACCGAGGTACATAGGCAGCTTAGAGTTTCAATCTAAGTTCAGTCCCAAAAATTCAAAAAATACATAGTTCCCAATCGTTGTTTGAATGTAGTATGGTGGAATGTAATCCATTCAATCAGCACTTGAAAATCGAGCTGAGATATCATTCTTCTATTGAACTTCGGATCCCATTTGAGTTAAAGGGGGCAAGCCTCTATGGTAAATTGGTATCTTCAATAAAATGATATAGTCTTTTAGGGAGGCTACTAAACATTTGCATTGAAGCCCGGAGATTCACTATGTCTCCATGTTCGCCAAATCTTTAAATCTGCCGCTCTTCAGTGTCAAAGTCTGCCAAATCTTCAAGTCCATCAACTCTTCATGTTTGTCGGTCTTCAAGCTGAAGTCCACAAATTCCGCCAAATCTTCAAATTTTGCCAAGTGTTCAAGTCAATGTCGTCAAGTCCACCAAGTCTTCGAGTCAAAACTTTCTAATTTCCAATCTTAAGGTGGACATTCAAGTCCCTTTGCACCTTAAAGTTGGCCTCTTCGTGGTTTTGTACTTAAAATGAACTACAGTTTTCCAATCATACGGTGGGCGTTTAAGTCCCTTTTCACCTTAAGTTAGCCTCTTTATGGATTTATTTTTCTATATGCTACCATTAGGGGTGGCAAACGGGCAGCTCGGGTCGGACATGAGCGGGTTGAAAACGACTAATTTAGAAAATGGGTAAATTATCCGACCCGATCCGGCTCGTATGTAATATGGGTAAAAATGGGTTATCCAGAGGATAATATGGATATCCATATTTATCCATGGCTTCTTAAGTATGATCACTTTTCGGAGAATTCCTAATCTCCCAAACTTGAGGAACCTCCAATTTAAGTCTTTAGAAATGT